AAAAATATTTAAATGAATTGCTGAGAATAAAGATTCTCTAATATTTGTTTTTCTTCAACAGTTAATTTAACATGCTAAAACCAAAAAAAAAATTTTCCATTTTTGCTTCCTAAACTCAAAGAAACATTTCATATATGTGGATGTGAATAAACATCAAACAATTATCAAAATCAACCATATTTTCTTATTTACTAATCAAAATATTGGTTACCTAAAGTAATTTATTAGAGTTACTTTTTAAGTCACAAATGCATGTACAAGTACTTGTATTAGAAAACAAATATAATTTTCAGCAAAGTTTATCAAACATACAGGGTGCTATGTGTAAATTGTCACCATTTTATATTTTTCATTTTGTGCATGCACATTGTTTTTTTATTTTGTTGACTGCACAATATAGTAGGGTCAGTTGGACACAGTCTGTGAGAAAATGAGCATTATGACAATTCACTCTGCTAGAAATTTGAAAACAGCATGCTGTACTGTTTGGCATTCATGCTGGAAGCTCCAGTACAAACATTTCAAAGTGTTTGGGTGTCAATCTGAGGACAGTGCAGAGGATTCAAAAGAGTTGGATGAGTCTAATGGTGATTACAAAAGGTGTTTGGAAAAACTCACTCTAATCATTCTGATAAAAAAAGTCTCCCAAATTTGTTGGTGAGGGCCTCAGACTCAACACAGAGGCCTCCTACATCAAGTGTCTTGAGTAGGTAGTGCTACCCTTGGTAAAGAAGGTGGCTGCTGGAAGACCATATATCTAGCAACAGGACTCTGCACCATGCCACACAAGCAGGAGAACCCAGTCATGGCTGTCAGACAATTTCTGCAACCACATCACCCCTTACATCTGGCCACCTAACTCCCCCAGACTGCAACCCCCTTGATTATTATGTGTGGGGTGCAGTTGAGCAAGAGACCAACAAAAAATTCCTTGTAACACCAAAAGATGAACTGGAGGCAAGGATTATGGCAGCATTCACCAACTTAAACAAGGAGACTGTCCAGAAGAGTTGCAGGAGATTCTGAAGTCATCTGGAGGCTGTGGTTGAAGCCAATGGCAATTTTATTGAATAAATTTACTCTTTATTATTTCAAGATATTTTTGTGTAATTTTGGTAAATATATCTGTTAAAATGAGATGTCAGTGTTATTTTCATTTTTGCATAATTTACATGACAATTTATCCATCGCACCCTGTATGTGCAAAATAAAAAAAAACCTTTTTTTTCTTAACAATTATTACTGTATGCTTGCAGGTACATCTGTTATTTTTAGGACATAGGCAATTCTCCTGTCCCTCGTAGCTCTTACTGTTATTTCTCCCAAACCCTGTTTGCCATCCAGTTGTTCAAGCCTATCAAGTATGTTATGTTCTGCTTTCCCTCTTTTCCTTAATCTGTCTTGTGAGCACCATATTTTCTAAGCCCTCTTTTCTTATTATGTGCCCCAGAAATTTCAACTGACTGTTCCTGAGGTTAAGTATAAGTTTCCTTTTTGTTTCAAATTCTTTCCAGAAAAACTGCTCACATGTTAAATCATGGTATCCTCAACATCTTTCTGTAACAACCATATTTATGTTTATTTAATAAATTATACATTTTTTTTTTTTGAGGAGATTTCCAACAATTCAATTTAATACATATTCAATTAGATATCAATTTTTTTTAGCAGTTACTTTACCAAATTATTCTTGTAAATAAACAGGCTATATCTGTCTGTATTTCTGATGTGAGGTATTGTAACTATTTATACAATTTACATTGTTTGGACTGTTGTCCTCATCTTTGTTACCATATTCACAATGTTTCAACCATTGTACACTCTGGCCTTCTTCTGGATCTGTCTATAATTCTGAGATCAGGTGTTATAATTATGTACACTATTTACATCATTTAGATGGTTCTCCTCATCTTTATTGCCATATTCACAACATTTTAGCTGTTGCATGCTCTGGCCTTCTTCAGGATCTGTCTATATTTCTGAGATGAGGTATTGTAACTATTTACACTATTTACATTGTTCACACTGTTTTCCTCATTAAAATGAGTGTCTAGAACAAATTTCTTAAAGGAAAGTATGATAAAAATTACTGTGAGCATTTTTGGGTAAAATCATTCAGTGATTTTTTTAACTACAATGTTCAAATAGAAAGAAAGGTTTTATTTTTTTTACAATAAAATTTAACTAATTTGTTTTTGTATTTATTCATTTTTAAAACTTGAATATCATAGCTTTAATTTATTTCCTAAATATTTTAATGGTGTTTGTATTATGCTACTAACATCTATTAATGATAACATTTTTTTTTAAATCATTTAGATTTCAGGTTGGTTGGAAAAACTTTTTTCTGAAGATTAAAGTTTTTTATATAGATGGTCCTGGGGTGATGGCAAAAAATATTAGTCTGGAAGCTTAATATTGATACCAATAAAAAAAAAACAAAAAAACTAAAGAACCTAATATTTTCATAGACAACAACTGATGTTCAATAGTTAAATTACAGGGCTGGAAGATGTAATTAAAGGAATACCCACTAGCTGTAATTTTTTTTCTTTTTAATCTAATTTAAGGCAGTACAGCCACTAAGATGCAAGTTGGTTACAGGGTGTGGCGGAATTAGGAACAGAAACATTAGTAATGAGTAGAAAGAGAAAAGAGTAATCAGGAGGACAGTAGATAACGATTGACATTACATTTAAATTTTTGCAGATTTTGGCTGGATAGCATGGAGCCAAAAGGCAGTTCCACAGTCGAGAAAAATGTGAGAAAAAAAACTTACCATAGAAGATACAGCTATATCTAGCTAGCTCAACTCTAAATTGATGAAATCTCGATGCCACTTTAGTATTGTGCTTAAATTCATATAGTCTAGGTACCATAGTGAAGAGCTCATCTGATTTTTCTTGTAAATTAATTCAGATATGCTAAAAGACAAACATTTTTTTCTAGACAATAAATTATTTAAATATATTTAAAATATTGAGACTGTTATCTTCATCTTTGTTATAAAAAATATTCTTTTACATTTCGGACCTTTTTACCTTCTTCAAAAATTCCTTTCATATACATTGAAATTTTTTGGAGAGTTAAATTACGAAAAAATTAAATGAAACTGAGATATCCAGAAAAGGCATGGCACATAGAATTATAACAAATTTCCCATGGTCTAAATAAAGGGTTGGTTCAAAATTCTAATGTATATCATCTAAAGGCCAGAGTGTACAGCAGCTGGAATGTTGTGAATAGGGCAATAAAGATTTGGACAACAGTCCAAATGGTGTAAATAGTTACAATATCTCATATCAGAAATATAGACAGAAAAAGATAATAATTAAAATTCTTAAAAATATTTTTTTCTGTATAATTTAACATTTAATGAGTATCTTGACAATTGTTTAGAATATCTTCTTTACAAGGACAAATTTTGACAACAACAAAGTAAATTGGGTTAATCTTGGAGTTTAGAAACCAAATCGTTTTTTCTTTCTAATTCACTGAGGTAGATTGTTCTGAGTTTGTCTTTGAAAAAAATTTTTTTGGATTCTCAAGAAAAAGTTATTTTTATATTTGGTCAAAAATTTCATACAAAGATGTCTTAAATTACATTTTGCCCAGCAGATAAAAGTGTTGGTTGAATTAATGCAGTGACTTGACCCAAAGAGTCGTTAGTTCAATACCTGGCCATAGCAGAGATGAACAAAAAGTGTATAAAGTAAAATAACTGAAACTGAGATATCCAGAAGATGCATGGCATGTGGAACTAGAACAATCTACCCCAGTGGTACCCTAATTTTGGTTCAAAATTCTAATCACATGAAGAAGGCTGGAGTGTACAATGGCTGAAATGTCATGAATATGACAACAAAGATGAGGACAACAGTCCAAAAAGGTAAATAGTGTAAATATAAACAGTCTAATAAATAAATAGATTTTAACATTATTGTTGATAATTCTTGAGAAAAATGTATAAATTTAGATGCTTTCAACCTATTTTAGTAAAATGTAAGAGTAAATGAAAGGAATGTGTTTATTTAAATTTTCTTGTTCTCTGGTTCACAGAGACCTTTATAAATTTATGAATAAAATGTGTTTTCATAGTTATTTCTTTATGTGTTAAATAATAAATATTGCACTGTAATTGGTGGACATATTTTTATAATCTTGTAAATATAAAATTATTCTTATAAATAAACAATCTGATAAAACAAAATGTGTTTAATTCTTTTGTTGTCAATTCTCAAGAAAAAATGAATAAATTTATTTATAAGTCTACCATTCACCAATGCTTTGAATACTGCTGCCATATATGTTCTGGTGCTCCTGCTATATATCTAAAGAGTCTCGATAAAATCCAAAAAAGAATCTGCAATGTTATTGGTCCTGAACTAGCCTATCGGTTTCAGTCTTTTTTCCCCACTACCATAATGTAGCTTTCCTGTGTCTTTTCTATAAATACTTTCATGGTAATTGTTTTGATTAACTTTCCACTATGGTACCTAGACTTTATGAATTTAAGCACAGCACTATATTAGCAACAAGGTCTCATCATTTTACAGTTGTACTGGCTAGATGAAACAGTAAATTCTTTGATAACAGTTTTTTTCTTTGCATTTCTCACCTGTGGAACTCTCTTCTATTTTCTTGTTTTTCAGCCAACTTTTATCTTCAAAAATGTAAATGCAATGTCAATCATTATATGCTGTCTTCTTGATTACTCTTCTTTTATTATTTTTGTTCCTTAATATTCTTTTTTTTTTTTTTTATTCTTTCACACTCATTAACCTCTTGTGCATTAGAGACTTTACTGTCTTACTTGAAATGAAATGATTAAAAATAAAATCTAATTTCACATGTTTGGGTTCTATTAAAATTATAAAAATAACTTTTTAAAACAATAAAAATTCATGAGGGTGTATACAGTAATAGTGGCATCAAGAGAAAAAATGTCCTTTTGACAGACTTTTTTTTGCATGTACATTGGTTAAATTCTGATTACTTACCTGATATATGATGTCGGAATTTGTGGGAAACTTCATTCCAGCAGTGGATCCTTTTTGCACATCAGTTAATTTATTACCCGGGTAGATCCCTCGTCTGCCTTTTTGTTGGGCATTTCGCATTAGGTCTGTATCAGTTGTCCTTACAGACGGTGTGTCAGCCCAAGAGGATTCCAAGTGAGATGGGCACATTAAATGCCTCTGTTCATGTTTGTCAGAGAGGGTAACTCCACTCCGGTGGGGAACGTTGCGCTGTTTCTTGCACCTTACAAAACAAATGGAGATAGCTGCTGTGATCGGTACTGATACTGTCATAGAAACCAACACGATAATTATCAGCAAGAACATGTGTGTGTTTTCTTCGGTCTGTGTGTGGACTGCATTGAGGCTTTCAAAAGTCTTATTGCTCACCGTTAGCATAAGAGACAGATTGGCGGTTGCTGACAAAGCTGGAGTGCCACTGTCTTTAACAACAAACTGAAGATCATGTGTCCCTGAATCTTGCTGGGTGGCAACCCGTGTGAAAGCCAAGAGGCCAGTATAATGGTTAATAGCAAACAATTGTCTATCATTCCCACCAATTATCTCATATTTCAGAAAGGCATTTTCCCGACTGTCCCTGTCATTGGCTATGAGAACTGTAATATTATTTGTATGGTGTGGATAATACACTAGATCCATAAGAAAAGGGTTAACACTAGGGAATGTAAAATATGGAGCATTGTCATTTTCATCTTTTACTTCAACAATAATGTTCGCCGTGTTGTTTAAAGAAGGAATGCCATTGTCTTTAACCAAAACCTTGAATCGATAAATATTTTGAAATTCATGATCAAGTGATATTACTGTAGTTATAAGTCCATTGTCTGAGATTTGAAATGGTAAGAATTCCTTATTACTACTTAAAAGTGAATAGGTCAGCTTACCACCAGCTCCAAGATCATTGTCTGTGGCATTGATAGTTCCAATTGGATACTTTGGCTTTTGATTTTCATCAATCCAGAATTTAAACATGTCTTTTTGAAACTGTGGGTGTACATCATTGACATCCATAACTTTGATAGAAATCTTTCTTTCACTTTGAAGAGGTGGAAATCCTTTATCCTGACAACTGATTGTGATCTCATGAAGATCTTCAATTTCTCGGTCAAGCTGGTTCTTCACTGTAACTTTATATCTTTTACTTCCAAGACCCTGCAGCAGGAACTTGTTATCATTCAAATAACAGCTGACCTCACCATTCTGCCCTGCATCGTCATCAGTGACCTTCACATAAGCGACAAAACTGCCTACTTCAATATCCTCAGAAATCGTGGCAGTATTTCCCTTCGATGCAGACACAAAGTTCACATCAATCCTCGGGGCATTGTTCCGCTGGTTAATCACATTCACAAGAACCATGGTAATTGAACTCAGTGGGGGATTGCCGCCATCTGATGCTTCAACATAAAGCTCGTATTTTAATTCTTGCCGAGAGGTGAGCTTCTTATGTAGAAAAATCTCTCCAGTCTCTTTGTTCACATCAAAAAGACTCTTGACCGTATCAGATGTCTTTGAATTGAAAGAATATGAAACTTTATCATTTCTACTCAAGTCTAAATCTTTGGCAGATAAAATGACCACAGGAACACTGACATCATGTTCATATCTAATAGACACGTTATAGACATTCTGGGAGAACACAGGTGGATTGTCATTGACATCTGTCACAGAGATTTGAACATTTAAAACACATTGTTTTGGAGGTGAGCCGTCATCTTTAGCAATCACCTGCACTGTATAGGAGTCCTTTACTTCTCGGTCAAGTTCATCTTCTAAGGTGATACTAAGTTTAGATGTGCCATAGACACTTTTCGTAACAGACAAGGTAAAAGGTTCATCCATGTTCTTCTTTAGGTGATAGTTGATCTGAGAATTTTGAATACCCACATCTTTATCTATGGCATTGGGGAGAGATCTTTTAGCACCTTTTATAGACTCTTCAGAAAACTGTATCTTGAATTGCTTTTCTGGAAACTCCGGCTCATGGTCATTCACATCCTGGATAACAACCTTCACTTCCAGAATTTTCATGAAAGACTTTGCCTGCCGAACAGCCACATCCACTATCCTAAAACACTCCTCATTCTGTTTGCATATTGCTTCAGCATCCAGGATTTGGGCAGTGTATAGTTTACCTGTTTCCTTGGAAACACGGAACATTGGTGGCCGTCCTGCCACACTTTGCTGCATTTGACTGAACCGAATTAGATTGTGGTCTTTGGAGGACACACCATCTAGCAAGTGGGAATCGGCAGCAATGTCACCGAGATAAGTGCCAGGATTCTTCCCTTCTTCAACATAGTAAGTAAGGTCCACACACAGGCATGGGTGCAAGATTGAGAGAAGTAGGAAAATCATTGGAATCAACATGATCCCAGTTTGTAAAATTGGATCCAAAAATCAGGTAATAGAAATCACTTCTGTTTGGAGGTGTTTGCAGAAACTGTCACTGAAATTAAAAAGAGAAAGAAAAATTAAAATTAGAAATTCATAAAAATCAAAACAAATTTTGAATCTAAAAGATTATTAAAACTCAAATCATTTTTAATATGTTCTGTACCAATAACAGTTTTTAAATGTTTTGACTTACAAACACATCACAAAGATAATATTTTCAATATTGAGACTGGTATCTTCATCTTTATTGCCACATGCACAACATTTCAGCTGTTGTACACTCTGACCTTCTTCAGGTGGTATACACTGGAATTTTGGAGAGTTAAGTTACTAAAGGTAATTAACTAAAACTGAAATACCCAGAAAAGGTATGGCATATAGAATTAGAACAATCTTCCCCATGGACTAAATAAAGGGTTCAGTTCAAAATTCCAATGTATATCACTCTGAAGAAGGCCAGAGTGCACAACAGCTGAAATGTGAATAGGGCAATAAAGATGAGGACAACAGTCCGAACGGTGTAAATAGTTACAATACCTCATCTCAGAAATATAGACAGAAAAAGATAATAATTAAAATTCTTAAAAATACTTTTTCTGTTTGTATAATTTAACATTTAATGCGATATCTGAGCTTGACAATTATTTAGGATATGTTCTTTGCAAAGATGAATTTTGTACAGGCATTGTCTTATCTTCTTCGAAGGAATCTACACATGACCGATTTTTGTTTTAATATTGTTTATTGCAGAAAAGCTTGTTTTTTATTTTATTCTAGATATCATGTATATTATAAACAATGGTATACTCATATAATCAATTCAAAGGGGTTTTAATTTCCATATGTATATCTAAGATGCTTTTGACTTCTTTTGAAAATAATTTAATTTTAATCAATGACCTTTAAAAGTCTTGGAGCACATCTACTATCATCTCATGGCAAACTGGTTGAATCTGCTCTAGCATTTGATTAAATACAGTTGAAATATCATTGGTCACACTTGAATGTCTATGACACAACAATGGCAATAGGTTAGTCAATATTATTAGCAATTTCTTTAATAGTTGATGGATTTTAATATTTTTATTGGCTTGTAGCTTAGGAAATTTAATTCAATTGTTTCATGTAAAAAAAAGAACTCCAAAGAAAGTTACTTAGTGAGCAGGTGATAAACTGCTACTGCTTTTCTTAAATGAAACCGATAAACAGTTGTGAAGCCAAAAATGCCTTGACTAACTACTTTAATGTATAAACCTGCTGAAAGAGTTTGGAGGTACAAAGATCAACAAAATTTAATAAAGTGTATACCTTTGCTACAAATTAATTTATCTTGTTTACCATTGTTGAAACAAAAGGAAAAAAAGATTTTGTTTTTCACTTGAACTTCTGATGGAAATTCAATTTTAACAATTTAATCAATTGTGAATAAGAAATCAATTTCTATACAAAATGGAATGCAATGACAAATGCAACCCCACCCACCATCTCCTGCATCAGTCTCTTTACATGTTATAACTGAACTAGACTAAACAACTTATCTTCAACTGCAATCTTCTGATAGAATCTAACATGACATGATGGGCTTCGGTAATTAAATTATATGCTGTATTTATAGATACAATCGTCCAAGTTACCAGAGGTGTAATTATATAATCATGTTTTATCCAATGTGTAGACATATTTGGTTTCAGAAGGTTTGTGTCAAAGTTTGCAAGAAAGAAAGTACAGCTTTTTTTTCCTTTTTAAAGTGTGAATAAATAATGTTTACAAAAGTTTGTCGCACCTCCAAAAATCTAAAAGATATCTTCCCATGCATGGATGGATGTAGCCATGATTAAAGCGTTAGCTAACTTAGACATTTAGATGCCGTAATGTAAACAACACATAGACATATTTTCATTAAAATAACAAAACCAGCAAATCAGAATTAATGATGCAATGTTGGCCAATCAAACAGAAGATCAAGAGTCTAAAATTGCATTTAAGCTGAGCCTATCTTTACCAATATAAGCAGAGGAAAATCAGCATTTACACAGTAGTGTATCAACAGAGGAGAAGCAACAGCATCAACAGACCAGGAACGATAGATCTGCTTGACATATGGGATTTATTTGTAAGTACAAGTTTCACATAGTAAAACCAAATATGTTCCCAAAAAGCTTACATGCGCGATTTATGACTGGTGCTTGCTGTTTCCATAAAGAATTACTTGCTCTGACAGAGACTCATCCTTTTTCTTTTCCACAATGCCAGTGTTTGGCCTAATAAATAGTTGTTATTGCTTGTTTTATAAATTCATATTTGCGTTTATACATGTTACTGTAGTTAGAGGTATTACTGCCTTAGGGCCAATGAAACAAATCGTAGTTAACACACACACTCTATAAGTTTAAATATCTGAGAAGCGTTTTAATAGAGGATGGAAGAATGCAACACTGACATCAAAACACACATTGAACAAATGAAAGAAGCATTCTAAAAGCCAAACAAAGTACTGAGAAATGGAAAATTTTGTTAGAAACAAAGAAAAGCATGTTGGATTGCTATATGGTATCCCTCCTCCTATATGGCAGGGAATTCTCTACAATCTCTCCATGGATGAAGAGAAAACTGGAGGTAACAGAAATGTGGCTCTACAGAAGGATATTGAGAATTCCATGGACAGAGTGAGTAAGCAGTGAGGAAGTCTTAAAGACAATGACAAAAAAAAAAAGAAAACTTATGCTCAAAGTCAGGAAGAGAGAGCTGAAATTCTTTGGACACATAATGAGGAAAGAAGGCTTAGAAAACTTAACCCTCACAGAGTGTACTGAGTGCAAGAGAGATAGAGGAAAGCAGTGAGCCCCCTACTTGATAAGGTTGGGTGAATGGTGGGTGAAATTGAGAGTGGGAGTCTTAGAAAAATGGGAAAAAAACTGCCACAAGGGGTAGGAAGTTGTGGAGAGCCATGATCGTTTATGTCCTAAGGGAATGCAGCACATTGAAGAAGAAGCAAACATTTTGCTGTTCAACAACTACTTGTCATCTGCACTTGTCTTTTTTTTCTTTCTTTTTTCCTCTTGAGAAATGATACATTCTTTTTATGAGCAGATGATTAAATATTCTTGGCCTAATCTACTTTCCAAAATCAGTATTTTAATAACAGAACGTCAAAATTTTGTGGGAAAGGGCTAAAGAAACTCAAGAAATTATGTGCTAAACATGTGCAGGAAGAATTTGTGCAACAGCATGTATTATTCCTGGCTCTTGATCATTATTCATAATGGGCAAAGAACTTTTCAGCACACACACACACACACACACGTGTGTATGTGTGTATAACTGGACATTGAAGTCAACATCCAGCAGCAACAGTCTGTTTTGTGCTTATATGTAATCGTCAGGCCATATAAGCATAAAATACTCTTACTGCTGGGTGTAGATTTCAATGTTCACTTTTATATTTACATATGATCTATCCCTGATATTGAACACTTTAACTCATAAATATAATATAAAACTATATATATATATATATATATATATATATATATATATATATATATATATATATATATAGAGAGAGAGAGAGAGAGATACACATATTTTTTTAATATATCTGCATATAAGACAACCTTTAAATCTTAAAAATTACCTCCAAAAATAGGGAGTCATCTAATGCAACAGTTACGAAAAGAGAACCTTAAATCCTGTGGTTTATCATCACAGTAGGCTAGTATGCTTGTGCAATGGGTCACAGTAGGCTAACAACTATCTTTTTGTTGAAACAATTTATATTATAATGCTGTACTACAGTTATAAATGTAATAAAACTATTTTTACTTCTTGATTTCTCATTAAAATGCAATATTCAAGAGACAATAAAACAACAATTTGAAAAAGTTCCACTGAGCAACACATACAAATAACAAGTAATGTAAACAAATATTTAAGTTGACTTGTAGAGCTATGTGTGCATTCACACCAATCATCATTTCTCATAGTAGTGTTAAAAAACATTTAGGATAACATGCAATCTGTATTTCTAATAAAAATTCATTATTATTGTAGTGTTAAATAACAACATTTAGTGTAACATGCTAACTTTTTTTTCAGTGATTATTTTATATAAATATTTTTATATGTTATTATTTCTTATACAGAATTCTTATAGACTGATGAATCTGAAAGAAAAGCAAGTTTGCTGGTAAGCCACAGTATATCTTCTTCTTAATATGATCTTAATTTTAATATGATTTTATATATATATATATATATATATATATATAGTCAATGATGAAATTATTTGTACAACCATCAATTTTGAATATTTTTATCATTTTTCAGAATCTAATGCTCATATGAGGCCAGGTTTTTTATGAGTTAATAAGTACAAAAGAGCAATATAAAATTCAATTTTCAGAACAATAGGTTAAATGCAACAAATCTGACAGGTGAAAAATAGG